TCTAATAATGTTAAAATTTTTATCTTGCTTAATTTTTTCAGTTTCAGTGTTTTGAATAACTTTTTCATTCACCAAGATGGCAGCCTCCCTATGACTGGTTTTGGATAATCAGTGCAGCCAAAACATTCATAAATCTGAAGTGTGGTGATGTGTGGTGATTGAGGCTCCTTGAATTTTAGCTAGACTTGTTTTTAGACAGCAAACATATAGTGTCACTGTGCCCAAATTTGAAGCTTTTCCTCATTGGTAGAACCTGCCACAGCTCACAAACCTGACAGCGTTTTTGGGAAGCACAGTGCATTATTGGAGAAGGACCAGATGTTTAAAAGGTAGCCTCTTGGTTATATTATATAGGGGAAAGAGACCTGAACTTAGAGGCAAACTTAATTCCTAGCTGTAGCACACACTAGTTATATGAATGACCATGGGCAAGTCACTTAAGTCTTCTGGGAGTGTCCTCATCTGCATCAACTTGGACATGCAGGATCCTTTTTGTGTCATAATGGCACAGGGGCAGCTAGTTGGTACAGTGGATAGAATGCTAGGCCTGGAGTCAGAAAGACTTTTCTAAGTTCAAATCTGGCATCAGACACTTATCAGTGGTTTGACCCTCAAGGACACACTGAGAGTCCAGCTAAAGGTGCAAATAACAAATTATGTCAGCTCTGGGGATGAAGTCAAAGGACTTTATCCTTAACCCATTCAGGACCTCCTGCATACCCTGGGTCCCGTGTTTCTGGAAAATATGGCAACTCAGGAAGATATATTAGGTTGGCTTTGGGGAACAGTAGCTGTATGACCTTGGGGAAGTCACTTAACTGTTTGCCTCAGTTCTCATCTGTAAAATGAGCTGGAAAAGGAAATGGCAAACCACTCCAGTATCTCTGCCAGGAAAATTCCAAGAGTCAGACACGACTTGAAACAACTGAATAACAACAAATTTAATCTTATTCCAAGTCTTTGAAAATTAGTGTTTTATGTATAATGTATTTTGAAAGGCAGAGCCAGGGGATGAAGTGTAGTGTTTGAGAAACAGAAAAAAAAACCCATTTGGCTAGATCAGAGTGTGGGAGGGAGAGAAATGTGTGGTGAAGCCAGAAAGATAGGTTGGGGCCAGGTTGTAAAGTACTTTAAAAGCTAAACAAAGGAGTTTGTGTTTGAATCTGGAGGCTATAGGAAGGCACTGATGTGATATGGTCAGATCTGCTTTATGAAAATCACCTTGGCACCAGTGTGGAGGCTACACAGAAAGGGAGAGACTTAAGGCTGGGAGACCAATTAGAAGGGTGTGGCAGTAATCTAGGTAAGAAATGATGGAAGCCTGAACTAAGGTGGTAGCTCTGTGAGTAGGGAGAATGGGTTGGATGCCAAAGAAAGAGCAAGATTTAGCACATATGGGTTTAATACATATATGGGTTGAGGGAGAGTACGGAGTCTGAGTTAATGCTTAGGTTACAAACCTGGGAGACCGAAGGATGGTCGTGTCTGGACGAAATAAGGAGGTTTGGAATAAGGGGGGTTTTGAGGAAAGATGAGTTCAGTTTTGGATAGGTTGTGTTTCAGATGTCTTTGGAACATGCTGGATTGAAGCTCAGGAGGGATTGGGACAAGATATGTAGATCAGTGAGTCATCCACATATAGTTGCTAATTAGACCAATGGGAAGGATGAGGTTACCGAGAGGATGTAGAGAGAGAAGAGGGCCTAGACAGGGTTCTTGGTACATACATCTACAGGGCGTGATAGGGATGATGAGCCAGTAAAGGAGATGGAGAAGGAGTGGTTAAACATGGAAGAGGAGAACGAGGAAAGAATAATGTCACGAGAAAGCCTTGAGGAAGGGGTATTTAGTGGGCATGGTGCTCAACATACCATGTAACACATAGGTCAAGAAGGATGAGGACTGAGAAGACTATCACACACAACAGTAAGAGCTTCTTGGTTCCTTTGGAGAGAGCAGTTTTAGCTGATTGACGAGGTCAAAAGCTAGACTACAAAGGGCTGAGTGAAAGGAGAGGAAGTGAAGGTGGCAACCATTTTGGAATAAAATGTTTATTATAATTGTATTTATTGAGCCTTTGTGAGGTTCCATTAACTACTGCCAGCCTGTGGATTAGCCATTCTGTGAAATGCCAGCAATTAGGTTCCCTCCCTCTTCTCTTCACCCTTAATTGTGCCTTTCATCCTCTTTTTCTTTTCTTTTCATAAAATAAAACATTTTAGTTGGTCCAGATAAATACAGTGGAGTTGCTTCTACCTAACCAAAGCAAGGTTTGTGAAACAGATATAGCACTATGAAACCAAAATTAGGGTTTATAATAAAACCATAAGATTTTAAGGCAATTCAATTTTTCCTAACATTCTAAAAATAGAATGTATTTTTCTTCATCTTATTTTGTCAGTCCATTTTATTTTTACATTGCTGTCATTTCAAGCTATATCCCTCTCTCTCACCTGCCTGGTGAGCTATCCCCTATAATAGAAAAAAAAAAGTTAGAAACAAAACCAAACACCACATTAATCATGTCCAAGGCAGTACATACAGTATTCTGCACTGAGAGGGTCTTGTGGTGCTCCCTCCGCCACATACACACCCTCCTCTTTCCAGAGAAGGAAGGAAGCTTCATTTTCTTAAGTTTTCTCTGGAGCTAAATTTGATCATTATAATTACACAGCATTCAAAGAATGCTTTTTTCCTGCATGACAGTTTTTGTTACTGTAACAAGTCTCTGTACTTGTACCATCCATCTATGGCTTTTTATCCTGTTTATCCAGATGCACTGGACACCCTAATTCTGAATACTTTAGTATTTCAGGGATACCAGGTATGGCACCTGCTGTCCACTCGTCACCCCTAGATTCAGTCTGCATATTGTATGTGCCTACTTCCTTGAGGCAGAGGGCCACTAGGAAAGACTGTCTTTTACCTTGCCAGGTGAGGGCATTACATCTTGTTTTACTTGTTTTTAGTCTTCATAAGGGAGGATTCCCTCCTCTGTGACAGTGATGTAACAACAAAATGTATCAATAACATGAATTTTTTTTTAAATGCAAAAACCAATGCAAGCCATTACTTATCTATTATTTAGTTGCCAACTCTTGCTTTTTATCCTACACTCAGCTGCCAAAGTGATTTTTCTTATGCACAAATAATAATGATGATAACTGTCACTAGCAATTATGTAGCATTTTAATGTTTGCAAAGTTCTTTGTGCATTATCTCATCATAGCCTCACAACAACTCTGGGAAGAGTTATCACCCCCATTTTACAGGTAAGGAAAATGAGTCAGACAGGTTAAGTGACTTGCCCAGGGTCAGGGATTTGAACTCAAGTCTTCCTGACTCCAGGCCTGGCACTACTACTACTACTACTACTACTACTACTACTGTGCCATCTAGCAGCCTCTGACCGATGCTATCATTCACTTTCTCAAACTCTGAGTTCCCTGTAGGAAACCTCTAGGATAAAATACAAACTCTGCTTAGCTTTTAAAGCCCTTTACAACCTTGTCCCAGCCTGTCTTTTCTAGCTTATTGGACACTACTTCCATGCTCTGTGATCTTCTCTCTATTCCTCATTTACTCTACTCCATTTCCTGTCTATACCTTGCACTGACCTTCCCCCATGCCTGTAAGGCATTCTCTCTTAAACCTTGTCTTGTAGTCACTCTCTTCCTTTAAGGTGCAGCTTGTACGTGAAGCCCTTCCTGATCCTGTGGCTGCTAGTGGAATTTCTCTGTCAGTTAAGTGAACATTGTGAGGCTCCACAGTATTTCTGAAAATGAGGAGATACCGGCTGTTGATAGGGTCATAGAAAATAAGAAAAATATTTTCCTTCCTCCCTAATTATTCCTTCCTCTTACTTCTTTACAACAAACCCTTATCTTTTTGTTTTCTCATCATATAGCTGACCACCTCTACATAAAAGATAGTTTTAAAAATAAAATTTAAGGATGCATTGATGGATTTATTATCACTCTTAATGAATTTTCTGCTATATTTATTAAATAGTTGAGTCACTTCATTTGATATAACATATAAGTAAACTCAGTATACAAAATTTTGAATTTATAGAAGATTCTATAATTATGTGATCAAATACTTTCAGAGTTATTTATCTCCATGTAAAAGACCAAATGATGGTTAATTTTGAGTTTACTTTGAAAAATGTAGTTTGTTATGTAATGTTTGCAAAAAAACAGAAAAATCAGTATTAAAGCAAATTTAGATAACAACCCTATTTTGAAAAAAACATCACATTGATGAACATTTAATATTGAAGTCATCATATTTTTGTTACTACCTCCTAGTAACGTGTTCTGTTGGTCTGGTTTTAAAAAATGCAAAAATAACCCTGTACAAAATTTTTGTTGTCCCTTTGCTTTTTTGCTAAGAAAAAGCCAATATTCCTTTTACTTTCTGATTGTCTAGCATCTTTTTTTTCTGTAACTATTGAGAGAAGCTAAGCATAAGTTCCATTTTATTTTTAGTTACAATAGGTTGAAAATACTACTGGCAATATTGATTTAACAATAATTTGGTTTATTCACAGACTTTAGTGTAATTCACCTTTAAAAAAAAATTAAGTCAGGCTTGGTGGAGGTACCTGCAAAAATGGTGTTGCACATAATTAGCTGTGTATTAGGTGGGGAAGGTGAAGTAATTCTGGTCTTCCCCCCATTTGCAAAAGCCTTTATATCATGGTAGAAAGGAAAGTATTGTTTTAGATTGAAATGTAAACACCTACAAATAGTTCGAAGCAACAAACAAAACATTTTAACTTATGGAGAGCAGGGGAAATTGTGGAGTGACGTGCATCAAGTAAATGATGTTCTTATTTCTGTTGGTCACAGATGTTTATTAAGTGCTTATGATGTGCCAGTCACTGTTCTGGGAATACAAATGCAAAAAGAAAGATGGTGTCTGCTCCCAAGGAGCCCATGATGGGGAAGACAACATGCAAAAGGAAGCTGAAAAGGACATGGGGAGGGAGAAGGTACCTGGTGCAGGGCTGTGATGGAGCAGTCCAGAGAAGTTCGGCCTAGTGGGAGATGAAGAGATGGTGGCCAGGGTACCCTCCTTCAGTGGAGGTTCTGGAAGGAGCCCTCCATCCTCTGCTCTGAGGTCAGGGTCCCGGGGCAGAAGGGATGTCCAAGGTTTGAGTTCCAAGGCTTTAATAATCTTTAGGGATGAAGAGGGTCGTGATGGAGAAGTCTAGATTTCTACCACAGAAATCTGTGTTCCAAATGTAGGCTGATGCATCTCCTTCCTGGAAGAAAAGATGAAATGGATTCACTTCTCCACACACCAGGTTGTAAAGGAGAATGAAGTGTTCCTAGACGGATTCTAAGGGGGAGCAAGGGGAAGGAAGATCTAAAATAGAGGAGTGGAGACATGAATGTTGTTAGGAAGATGAGGAATGGAAATGTGTGTAACACAGAGGAGAAAGGGAAGGAAAAGGCCAGCTAAACAGAGTTTAAAAACAAATTTGGCAGTCTTCCTGAAGAGAATAATGCTAGATGTTTTGAGGAAGAAGTTACTTATCTACCAAAGAATGAAGTTGTAGAGCTACAGATGCTGTCAGGTGAGAGCTCATCCAGGAAGGGTCAGAGGAAGAAGAGAAGAAATGTGGTGGTGGTGGTGGTGGTGGTAGTTGTAGGGGAAGTGACTCTTGGCTGAAGCAGCTATTTGTGGACCTGATAGTAATCTAGAGATCTGTTATCTTCTTGGAAGGATACATCTAAGACATAACAGAGAACCTTCTAAGATTATCAAGAGTGACATTAGCTACCTACTTCTCCTGATTCACCTGGGTATACATGACACTTCCAGTAGGAACCTAAAATATATTGCCAACCATTATGAAGTCTTGGGCAAGGTACTGAAGACCACTAATGGCACCAGTTGTGTTTACTTCACTGTTAACTAGTAAAGGAATGGAGTGCAGAAGAGAGAATTAATTTGGGAAGTGATAGCCAAGAAGGTGGTGTCAGAGAATAGTATTAGGCTTGGCTTACAACTTTGGGATGAAAGATTTTTAACGTAAAGTTACTGTAGACATTATAAAATATTTAGTAGTCTACCTACCAAAACAGACCCAGGAACTATATGAACACAATTACAAAACACCTTTCACACAAATGAACTGGAAAAACATCAGTTGCTCATGGATAGGCTGAGCTAATATAACAAAAATGGACAATTCTACCTAAGCTAATTTATTTATCCAGTGCCATACCAATCAAACTACTAAAGATTATTTTACAGAGCTAGAAAAATAATAACAGGATTCATTTGGAATAACAAAGGTCCAGAATATCAAGAGAACTAGTGAAAAGAAATGCAGGGGAAGGTGGCCTAGCCGTTCCAGATCTTAAATTGTATAATAAAGCAGCAATCATCAAAACTGCTTGGTACTGGCTAAGAAATAGAGTGGTGGATCAGTGAAATAGGTTAGGTATACAAGACACAGTAGTCAATGACTATAGTAATCTACTATTTGATAAACCCAAAGACCCTAGATTCTGGGATAAGAACTCATTATTTGACAAAAACTGCTGGGAAAACTGGAAAGGAGTATGGCAAAAACTAGGCATAGACCAAGAGCTCACATCATATACCAAAATAAAGTCAAAATGAGTTCATGATTTAGCTATAAAGGCTGATACTATAAGCAAACTGAGAGAGCAAGGAATAGTTTACCTGTTAGATTTATAGAGAACAGAAGAATTTATGACCAAACAAGAGATAGAGAACGTTATGAAATGCAAAATGGATAATTTTGATTAAGTTAAATTGAAAAGTTTTTGCACAAACAAGCCAATGCAACCAAGATTAGGAGGGAAGTAGAAAACTGGGAAAGAATTTTTACAACCAGTGTCTCTGATAAGAGCCTCATTTCTAAAATATATAGAGAATTAAGTCAAATTTATGAGAGTACAAGTCATTCCCCAATTGAGAAGTGGTCAAAGGATATGAACAGGCAGTTCTCAGATGAAGAAATTAAAGCCATCTATAGTCATATGAAAAAATGCTCTAAATCACTTGATTAGAGAAATGCAAATCAAAACAACTCTGAGATACCACATCACACCTGTCAGGTTGGCTAATATGACAAAACAGGAAAATGATAAATGTTGGAGAAGATGTGGGAAAATTGGAACACTAATGTATTGTTGGTGGAGTTGTGAAATGATCCAACCATTTTGGAGAGCAGTTTGGAAGTATACCCAAAGGGCTATAAAAATGTGTATACCTTTTGACCCAGCAATAACACTTGTAAGGCTGTATCCCAAAGAGATCATACAAATGGGATAAGGACCTACATGTACAAAAATACTTATAGCAGCTCTTTCTGTAGTGGCCAAGAATTAGAAATTGAGGGGGTACCCATCAATTGGGAAATGGCTAAACAAGTTGTGGTATATGAATGTAATGGAATACTATTGTGCTATAAGAAATGATGAGCAGGTGGACCTCAGAAAAACCTGGAAAGACTTGTGTGAACTGATGCTGAGTGAAGTGAGCAGAACCAGGAGAACGTCATACACAGTAATAGCCACATTGTGTGATGACTAATATTGATAGACTTAACCCTTCTCAGCAATGCATTTCCAAAAGTCCTGTGATATAACATGCTATCCACATCTAGAGAAAGAACTATGGAGTTTGAATGCAGATTGAAGCATACTATTTGCTATTTTTTTTTCTTCTGTTTTGTTTCCTCTTTTTGGTGTTCCCTTTTATTGGTTCTAATTCTTCCTTATAACATCACTAATGTGAAAATATGTTTAATAGGAATGTATATGTAGAGCCTATATCAGATTGCGAGCTGTCTTGGGAAGGGATGGGGGGAAGGAGGGGAGGAGAAAAATTTAAAACTCAAGCTTATGGAAGCGATTGTTGATAAATCAAAATAAATTAATAGAAAAAAGAAAAGAAAGATTCTTGACCAAAGTATGCCTAACATCAGTAAGAATATTTTGCAAGTCTTTTCTAAAGGGCTTTGAACATGATGAGACATGGAGAAAACTGTCTAAGTTACATAGAGAGTAGCCACAAGGAAGGATGAATAGTAGGTGAGACAAAATCCAAGAAGAGTCAGTAGTAAAGCCCATGGCATCAACTGTGTATATGCACAAATGCCCAGAGTTCATTCAGTAAATAAAGAACTGCAGATCCTAATGCAATATGTAGGCATAGTTGACCTCAGAGTTCTCACCAAAACTTGGTGAGGTGACACATTTGACAGACCCTGGATGGATATGCCTTTATTCAAAAGAAACAGGGTGATGGTAAAAGTCAGAGGTGTAGTGTTGTATATTAAGAAGGTACACTCATGTGAAGAAATCCGGGAAACAGGTTGGAATCATGAAGAATAGCATTTGGGTGATGCTCAATGGAGAGAGAAACAGATGTGATTTTGTCATTGCCATATCCTTGCAGATACTCCCCTCTCCCTCCAACAGAAAGCAAGAATGGAGGAAGAGTTTGGGAAGGAGATCACAAACCTGGCACAGAGACTTGATATAATACTGATGAGGGACTTCAGTTATTCAGTTATTCGGTTATTCATATGCTGGAGTGCTGCCAAAAGCAGAGCAGCTAATTAATAACCATTTGCCTGAGTGTTGATTTCATTCTTCAAATAGTGGATGAACCCACAAGGGGAGATTCTGTTTTGGATCTTAATTCTCATTAGCAGAAAGGAACTGGTTTCTGGGGTGAAAATGGTAGGAACTCTGGAGGGGAGTGACCACTGTTTTCTAGATTTTGTGATAAAGGAGAGGAAGTCCAACCATAGTCTGATACATGATTTAGATACTGGAAAAGCAGATTTGAAATGGGTTCAGAGTAAACATGGGTAAGTTCCCATGGAATAAAATACTTCAGAGGAAGTTAGCCCAGGAGAGATAAAGGGAAACAATTCCAATGAAGAACAAAAATTATATATGTTTAAAGAGACCAATTTGGATGCATAGAGAGGTCACCAACCAACTTAGATTTATAAAAGACACATGCAGAAGATGGAATCAAGGAGGCATGAATAGAAATGAATATAAAAACATGTTTTTTGTTGTTATTTAGTCATTTCAGTTATGTCCAATTTGTGACTCTGTTTAGGGTTTTCTTGACAGAGATAGTGGAGTGATTTGCCATTTCCTTGTCAGATGAGGAAACCTAGGCAAATGGAATTTAAGTCCTGAGCCACATGGCTAGTAAGTGTCTGAGGCCAAATTTGAACTCAGATCTTATTGACTTCAGGCATGGTGCTCTATCCACTGTGCTACCTAGCTGCCCTTAAAGGCCTGTTGTAGTCTTGCAAACTTGGTCTCAGGATGGACTGAGGCTGGAGAGAAAGGCCAGGGACAACAAACTCTCTTCTCTCTCTCTCTCTCTCTCTCTCTCTCTCTCTCTCTCTCTCTCTCTCTCTCTCTCTCTCTCTCTCTCTCTCTCTCTCTCTCTCTATTTGATGGCTGTGTTGAAAGAAAAGGGACCAAAGTAGGGGTGTGGGACCTTTGCACAGATGGGCATATAATAATAGACAGCATAGAGAATGCATAACTGCTTAGTTCTCATGGCACTTCTGATTCTCTGCAAAGGAGAGGGACCAGAAATGACAGAACAAAAAATGTTGGCATAATACTTAAGGTAAATAAGGAGAGAGTAGAGAACTCCTATCACCTGATCCAGATGAATTACCTCTGAGTTCTGAAAGATCTGGCAGATGTTTTTGCTGAGCCATTGTCAGTAACATGTGAAAGATCACTAGGAATAGGAGAGGTGCTATAAGATTGGAAAAAGCCAAATGTTCTGATTTGGGCAGGGTGAGGTGGGGGATGGGCTGGCAAACTAGAAGTCAGCAAGCTTGGCCTTGATTCCTAGAAAAGTTTTATCAGCATCATTGATGTATCTAGAAGCAGCGTATCTGGGCTTCATCAAGAACAGGTTATTCCAGACTTAACCTTATTTCCTTTTTTACCTAGGAGGTAAGGGTAATGTAACTATTTTTGAGCTCGATTTTCCAAAGCTTTTGTTAAATATCTCATTCTAACCTTGTGCAGCAGGTGGAAAGATATGGATTAGACAGGAATACAGATGGATTGAAAAACTATTTAGATTACTAGACTCCAAGTGATTTATTTGTTCAATGTTAGTATACGGTATCTATCAGATATCTATCTGTGGTTGGCCCTGTGCTGTTCCACGTTGTTATCATTGATTTAGATTAGGACATCAAGGGCATGCTCATCCTATCTGCAGATGACA